TAAAAGGGTTGCAGCATGAGGCAGGTGGAGCACCACTGCTCTACAGCCTCATGATCCAGCTTTCTCATGCAGGTGAGGCCAATGAAAATAGACGACTAGGGTCAGAAACACCTGAGTCCTCTGCGATTCTTTAAGAGGTCTTTTGTAGCAAAGTTGCCCAATGTAATACATGCCTATCGGTTCTATAACTACTGCTTCCATGGGCATTGCATGTGGATCCAAGTAAAATAAAGTATTTGACAAAACCAACATTTTCCCATCTATCAGAATCCTGTTTATTGGTCCAGTTTTACACCTTATTGCTGTTCGTTGCCATTGAATTGGTTCTGAATCAGAGCAACCAAGTAAAATTCTTCAGAACCCCAATAATCTATCTGTCTATCTTCTTGTTGCTTATTGGTCCAGTTGTAAAGATTTCCAGTATTTTTATATTAAGGTGTAATCCATACTGAAGGGTGTGGTCTTTGATTTTATCAGTCAACGCTTCAAGTGTTCACGTCCAGCACAAAGGTTATGGCATCTACATATTGCAGGATTTTAACAAGCCTCCCTCCTACCCTTCCTTATCGATAGTTCAACTTCTCAGACGCCTTGCTCAGGATGCAGACTGGCTGTGTATGGTGAGAGGACACGATCCTGACCCACTTTCCCTGATTTTAAACTAGACAGCATCCCTTTGTTCTGGTTTTCTGACCACCTCTTGGTCTATGCACAGCTTCTACACAAGCACAATGATCCCTGTTCTTTGTAATGTTACCCCAAACTCGTTTGCATAATCAATGAAACTCAAGTAAACCCTTTTCTGGAGTTCTCTGCTGGCAGCCAAAATCCATCTGACTTCAGCAGGCCCTCCCCCTCCCAGGCCTTCTTCTGAATCTGGCTTGGATCTCAGGCAGTTCCATAAGTTCTGCTGCAACTTTGGAAATTATCTTAAGCAAAGTTTTCCTTGCATGTGATCATATTAATGAATTGCTCAATAATTTCTCTCTTCTAGTTGATTGGCACGGCAGCTGTCTGCCCAATTTTTTGGCATGAATTAGAGAGTGCCCTTAGTGCTCCCTCAAATTGTCGAAACATTCCTGTTGGTGGTCCAGCCATTTCTGGAGCTTGTTTTTTTTGCCAATTCGTGCAGGTTGGACCTAATCTTTCAATTCCATCAGTTCTTGATCCTACGCTACCTCCTGAAATGGTTGCGTGTCAACCAATTATTTTTGGTACATTGATTTTGTATTCCATCTATTTAGTAGCAGACAGGCAGCTAGAGAATCATTGGTACTTTGGAGACAGAACGCATATAGCCTCAATTCAGAAACTTACCGGGGCCCCCACAAAAAAGGAAGAAAGATTACCCATTTTCCCCCCTCCCTTTCCAAAACCTTTCAACAACCCCGTTGGAATCCTTTAGCTTTTATCTGCCTCATCAGTCAAGGTTATTACTAAGTTAATAATGAACAGAGAAAGTCAAGGAGGGCGGGCGATGAGCTGGCTTGTGGCTAGCAGCCTGTGACTAATTCTCAGGATGAACACTTCTGGGAAATGGACCTTTTTACGTGGGAAGAGTTTACCTCAACTTCCCCACATATTGTGTATGCTGGGATCAATCCAGGTCTTTGCAGGCGTTTGCTACAGACCATTCAGGTGACCACTGTGTAGCCTTTTTTGAAAACTCAAACTGTCACAACAGAGCCCAGGGCTGCTAACCGCACCAGTCTCTCTGTGGGAGAAAGAACGAGGCCACCCGCAGTGGTAGCTGTACCCTGTCCTGGAGGCACCATGAGGAGTCAACTTGAAGGAGTGAGCTTGTTTTCACGGTTGACCGTGATGAGACTCACACGTTAAAGATACCATTTGGGGAATCATTTAGCAAACAACTGTACAGAAAGGGCAAGGAGGAGGAAGGGAAGCACTTTAGGAGCCTGAATCCTAATTGGTGGACACAGGTAAAAATTAGTACAGCCAACTTCCCCGCATGCCACCTGTTTTGCCACGTGTTATAAACATGGAATCTTTATTTTACTCAAAATGAACTTTTAAAATAGCAGAGTTTACAAAAAACTACTGAATCTCAGGTAAAAGCCTTTACCACAAAAGTGTAGATCTACATGGTAAATCTGAGGGCCCAAACACTACAAAGCCTTACATTTCCTAATAATTCATTACCACAAGCAAACTTTGATTATATGTGTTTCCAAATAAGTGACAAAGTAAAATAGGCAGTGCTGATCTCCACTGAGGAAAAAAACAAAAAAAACCCCCTCAACTTGCCCATTATTCCATTGAGGGAATCATTTGAATTTTCAAAATCCTAAGCTTTCCTTTTTAGGTTTATCCACAATACATATATAAACAAACACACCCAGTCTAATTCCATATCTTTATTTTTAAAATGGTTGTTAGAGATCATATACACCATGCAGAAGGCATTCATAACTGTTTTTGTCAAGAGTAGTACAGTATACAAGTTAAATGCAAAACTTAAAATTAAGATTCATGAGAAGCAATCTCGATTCGGAATTTTGGCTCACACATTCTGTGCTAACGTCTTAGTGTTGTTGATATTGTCCCTATGGAAAAATGAGAAGGAAGTCCACTACCAACGGTACTTAGCAGAGCGTTCCCTGTGGATGCAGAAATGATGGACAAGAAACAGGAAGGAGCCAACAAAACAGGACTGTGGTTTGTTCCCCGTTCAACTTTCACACCGAAAAAAATCATTGTCAGGGCCTGTGCAACAGTGATTGGTCTACACCATGTTGTGTACACAGTCTTCAGGATACAAAACCCCTTTTCTGACCAGCCTCTGCCTTGTCTCCGGGGAGAACTAGCACATGCTGATGCTTAGTTCTATTTTCCTGCCCTAATAAAGGAAGAAGGCTCAGAGGAAAACAGAACGAATCAGTCGGGCAGAATATTATAGGCTATCTGGCTTCTCCCCAAATGCATCCTCAAATATAACTGTACGTCCTTTTGCACAAATACTTATACATTCTGCTACCACACAAGTGCCGCTCCGTGGGCTTACAGGGTGAGTGAGTGGAGGACAGACAGTCAACCAGCTCATGTGAGTGGGGCCACAAGCGCTGTAACGATGGGAAAACTTCACTACTGAGCGCAGGGAAATAAAGCTCTATCCCCACAGAAGACTGGCTTGACCCTTTTCACAGTTTGGAGGCCAGTCAAGATTATGTAATATTTATTGAACCATACAACCCTGAATCATGAAACACACGAAGAGCAGAAAGAAGCATGTTCACCATCGAACGAGAACGATGCGAGTAAATCACTGCTCCTGCCTGGCACTCGCACGGGGGGCTGGGCCGGTTGGGAGACCCGAGCATCTCTGTTCTGACCGTTTCTACATAAACGCCTGTCAGGTGACACGAGAGATGATGACGTGGGTGAGAGGGTGCGGGCAGACTGAGGATGGAGAATGGACATAGCGTATCTGTGTGTCTCACAGATGTCCCCTGATATAGGGTAGGAGAGGACCTATACGACTTTACCAGGAAGGCTCATCACAAACTTGTAGATGTTGAACTACGACTGAGCATCCACTGGTACTTTCAAAGGTTATCATCAAGGGAATATAATACTTAATGCTGTCATAAATACAAAAAAGTATTATTACCCAAGCACTAACCCACAACCTATTGCAATCCGGGGGGGAAAAAACGAAACCCCCATAAACCGAGCATGTGGCATTTTGCACCCATGGGAGTGTCTGTCTGTGTGTCTGTCTGTGCTGGGGCACGTGCGTTTCTATGAAAGTGAAATGAAACAATGCTACGGTGAGTGAGCATCAGCTACCAACTTTTGCTCTAACATTGACATTGACTTTTGTGACAAATGTACTATATTTCTGGGAACAGATGCTAACTAAAGTATCATGGTGATAATATAACAAATTTTATTGTCTTCATTTAAAATTCCCTTAAAACGAAATAAAAATATGCTCCAGCAATGCATAGTCTGAGCATCAAAAATTTTTTTTGCATCACATTTTTTTATGCCAAGTGCTAGTCTCTTATTTTGTCAGTGCTTCACAAGCTACCTAAACACTGGTGTATAAAGACATTTTTTTAAAGAGGAAGAGATTTTTATATTCACTGTGGACATGAACAACAGTTGTACCAGTAACAATAAGCCGGTGTTTGGGAAGCGGGTTCCAATGTTCCTGATTGATTCTGTGTACATTGCTTCCTGACGTTTCCAGAGGAGGCAGGGAAGACAACCTCAGCAGCTGAACTTAGCCATGGAGTTCTAAATTCCTGGGCGAATGTTAGCAAACCTGCATTTCATGTTTTGAAAATTCTGCCATCTAGAAAGAAGGTGGGCTAATTCTTGAAGAAAATCAACAGCTCACCATGTATCACAGTCACATCTCAAATTTAAGACAATGTGATCCAACACTGGAATCAGAACACAAGACGATTCTATTATGAAACAAATATGAACAGAGAGGACCGTCAACTTGAAAAAAGGAAGGAAAATAAGAGCAACCAACCACAAAACACCCCTGGATACAGTTAGCATCTCTTTTCTGAAGTCCTGGAAGCAATTCCCATCAGTTCTGCCTGGTTCCCTGAGAACTTGAATGTTTCGGCTAAAGGCAAGTTTTGTAAGGATTGAATGTTGATACTGCTTCTTCCCACTCAGAATAAATATGCACATGTTAGGCAGCTTGTGGTGTTCTATATTCTTCAGAGCTAATACCAAACAACTTTTACTAGGCATCAACAAGCAATTCTTTTATCTCAACTTCAGTCTGGGGAGTGTGACAAGGGAGGGAAGCTGCATTTTGCTACAACGTAACAGCTCACTTTCAGGAATAAGAATAAAATGTGTATCACACACCACCACTCCACGTCTGCAGTTTGTGACCCGTCTTGTTTTCCAGTCTTGCCTAGGTGCAGGTACCAGGGTACTTCGTGGTTACTTCCAAAGCTGCGCGGGCATTGTAATGACAAGACCCATTCGACAAAGACACAAGAACGTCCATGTCCCCAAAATGCGTTGGTAGATTTTATTCATTTTACAATATGCATGATAATAAAAGGCCAACGTACAATGCTCTTTGTTTAAAAAGGAACAAAATGTATTCCAGAAGAGTTAGACAGAGGCATGAGATGAATTTCAGTGTTAAATGGATCTGATTCTTTGTGAGATTGGTGAACTCATCTTAATCGCTAAATAGAGGCTGAATGTTTTACATTATAATCATATCTGGAGATCATGCAGATGGAGGAGAAAGGTTGGGTTTTTTTTTGCTTTTGCTTTGATATTTCTACAAAGTGTTTTAAAATCAATTTTAAAAATCCAAATCCGTCCCTCTCCCTTCCATCACAGTTTGTGTGAGTAACTAAGACTTGTACCCGTAAGAGAGAGGTAGATGCAGGGGCCATCTTCTCACGAGGAAACCCCCTCGACAGATTTTTGTGCACGGAACACAAGGCTCTTGTTAACTCGATGCAATTAGTTGCAGAGTTGAAAAATATTTTGGAGCTGAATGCACATCAATATGAAAATCATAAGCAGCTAACACCAAGTACACGAATGAGTAAGTTCTTAAAGAAAGGCATATGTTCTCTGTACCTCACAAAAATTATCCTCACACATGTTGAACCCAAGATCACACAAGAGAAAATATTTAATGCTTTACATTTAATATACAAATTCAGAGCCAATGAAACAGACTTTCATGAGAGACGAGAAGAACAACTTAAGAAAGTACATGACTTTCAGGATGCCCTTGAGGGGGACGTCTCCTAAGGGCCCTGCGCTTGCTCAAGGCAGGAATCTTCTCAGGGTGCATCGTTACCGTGAAGAGAAACCGACTAAGGAGACGACGAGCAAGCTGGGAAAGGAAGTAAAAGTTAGGCCCCAAAGGAGGTCTGCCAAACACGCTGCACTCTGCCTCCTAAAAACGAACGAAAGCCCCACACCGAACAAGTACGGATGGAAGTCAAAGGTCGTGGTAAGCATACATCACAGACATGGACATCGATGGCCATGAATATAACAATAGGAAGTCTGTTAACACAGGGTGAACAGAAGTAATGCACGAGGGTCGCGAGAGGAAAAGAACCCTGAAACGACCTCCAACGGGGTTCAATCACTTCCTGTCCCCCCTTTACCCCGACCTTCCTTCTCGCAGTGCCTCCGTGAGTCGAAGATGAAAACTCACAAAACTTCAGCATAGTGCTAACACTTTTTACCGCTCTCACTAGGGCTAGACCCCGAGTTGCTTTGATGAGATAGTTGGTGATGGGTCGTCCTAATCATTGCCCACTTTTCGCCATTGGCTACTTCTCCTTCTCCTGTAAGCCCTCAGGAAGTCAACTGCAACCCATGACTGTGGCGTGCGGTCTCCTCTCTCTGGGTCAACATTTATCCAGGCATGTCTGCAAGCGCTCTGTTACAGGGAGAGGGAGCGTGTTCAGCAAATTCTCCTCCACGAGCAAACAGCTCCTCTTCAGGGCCTGACAGCCTTCCAGCTCGGGAGGAAGCGTTTCCAGGTAATTCCCAATGAGCTCCAGGTGAGTGAGGTTTGACAGCTCCCCCACCTGAGGGGACAAATCCATGAGGCTATTTTTCCCCAACAGTAAACACTGCAGCTTTTTGCACTGAAACAGCCCATCTGGAAGCATCTCAATCTGGAAGGAGGAAAAAAAGGAGCAGCAGTCAAATTTCTGGAATTCTTTGTGCTCTATAGTACTATATTTATTTACACCGCTGCCTCATTCCAAAAACATTTCTGACGGTTTCGAACCAGCCACAGCAAACCTGAAGGAGCACAGGTCTCCTCTGGCACACGGGAGGTCACCCACCCCGGGGTGGAGTTGACGATCCACTAGGAAGCATTTGAAGTAAATGAAAAAGAGAAAAACAATGAGAGCATTATTAGAGATGGAGGTTAGCACAAAAGTGGGCACCAGAAGCATCCAAACCTTTGCTTTGTAGCAAGAAAACAAAACTCATGGCTGTTGACTTAATCCTGATCCACAGTGACCCTACAGGATGGAGAAGAACTGTCTGTCCCATAGGGTTTCCATGGGTATACATTGTTACTGAAGCAGACCGCTTCATCCTTCTATGGAGCTGCTGAAACCACGGACCTTTCTTCTGGTTACCAGTTCAGTGCTTAAGAAAATGGGCATACTTGTACCAGCAATTCTTCAAGAAAACTCTATCAGACACATACCTATTGTCCCTAAAATAAAAACGAGAAAAAAATCCCCAAATCTGTAACTGAGGAAAATATCCATTATGCCCGAGTGTTGGGTCAGTTATAAATAGCTCCCAAAGGTCCTCATACAGTTGACTATGTAATGTAATGAGCAACATCCTCAAAAACATCCAGAAAACGGACACACACCAGTCAGTGTTTCTCAGGTTAGACAGAAACCTCTACTCTTAAAAACAGAACAAAGCTGCCTAAGTAAAGACAGGATATGATGATATATGTACCTCTATTCTACTTCCTTATATACACACATCCATCTAAGTATTCTTTTCTTGTTCTATGAGTTTCAATTAAATGATTCATACAATGAAATAATTCTTAGTATGATAAATAGCCTGCAGCTCTATGAACCTTTAAAAGCCGCTCAACTGAGTTGCTCCTGGTATATGCTGGGTAGTTTATATGTGAGCCTAACCCGAGTATTTCCATCTCTAAGTAGTGATGACAAAAATAATAGGAAGCACTGTAATAGTACTGATCTCCAGAAGAAAGCTGTCCATTCGTCACCTTCTGGCTTCCAGCCTTGGAATTAGAGGAATGTGTTGAAGGTATGAATGTGGAAGTCAGGAAACGGACATATCAACTCGAGTGAGGCCTACGATGTGGGCCAGCCCGGGCGGGGAGTTATTGAGACCATGAGCTCAAAGGAAGCTAGTAGGGGCAGCACTGTCCCACAGGGTTTCCAAGGCTGTATTCTTTCCAGGAACAGAATGCTTCATCTTTCTCCACAGACGTGTTGGAGGGATGGAACTGCCGACTGACTTTTCAGTTGGCATCTGAGTGCTTAACCATTGCAGCACCGGGGCGCTTTCTGTATACCCGTAGTGACCCACATAGTAATAGTCAATCAACTGGGTAATTAAGCAGCATTAATGAGAAACCTCCAGACCAGTCCTTTCCAAAGTGTGGTTCTTGTGCAGTAATATCAGTTTCACCTGGAAACTTTTTAGAAATGTACACTCTCAGGTCCTACATCCGAAACCCTGTGAGTGGATTCCAACTTGCAGCAGAAAGTTTTAACAAACCCTCCGCTAATTCTGGTATCCACTACAGTTTAAGAAGCACTGCTAACCTCAATAGATCCTGAAGGGGGTTTAAAACCATACATTCTTTAAGACATGAAGATTTCTTGTTTTCTTTTAGAATGTACTCCATCCTTTTAAACTTAGTAAAAGCTCAGAGTTTTTCGGACCAGAAAGAATATGTTCTCAACTCTCAACTTTCTTTTGTATATTTTCCACCAATCTGTGGTTTTCCAAAATGGTACCTGTTGAGTCACAAGTTATTAGTCAACACCAGCCCCCAAGGCCATATTTGGCGTGAATATGAATTACCAAAGATGTCTAAGAAATAATAGACACGTGGCATGGGGGAGAACAGAAGAGCAGTTCCCATTTTCAACCAGAGGAAGATCCCTTTCATTGCCGACAGCCCTGATTGTTGACCAAGTTTTCTTCTTCTCATCCGGACATGACTCTGACCCTCACTCTTGCCTCTCAGAGGAGCATGCACTGTCTCTTTACTTTTTCCTCTCCCTTCGAATTACTTGAACCCAGGAATTTATTCATTAGCTTAGTTTTTCCTTGTTTCAGTGAAGTTTTCCCTAATTCGGCTTCACTCTTGCCAATTATGGTTCCTTTTCGAGCAAGGATTCTGGAAAAAGCTCCTAAGGAGTCCTAGTCTCACATTATAGAAACACGACTTTCATCTTCCATTGTCTTTCTAGGCACGCATTTAGGTCTTGTCTTGCTTACCGCAATGCATAATTCATGATCCTAGCATTTTAAATATAGAGTTATTCTCCCTACAATAGATTTGAAAAGGTGAGGGGTTGGACCAAACTTTAAGTATTTAAGACCTTGCAAAATAAAAAAGTAAGCTCTACCATAACTGTTTTAAAGTTAAAATATAAGTTTAATTAATTGAAAATATGAAGCTGATATCTATATAAAAACTGAAAAAGAGAATAAAGAGAACTAACATTTTGTTGGGCAATTACTATGTACCAAATGCTTTATGTATATTTCTCACATATTCTCCAGCATAATTTACTTATAAGTTAGATTAAAAATTGCTGGGTCAACTCACTAGCCATTCATGAGATACAACTCCAAACAACAATGAGATATCACCGCATATCCATAACAAGAGCCCAGTTCAAAAATAGAACAACAAATGCTGGCGAGGGCGCGGTAAGCTTGGAACTCATGCACACTGCTGGAGAGCTTGTAAATATGTGAAACTATTGTGGAGAGTGACACGGTGATACCTTAAACAGTAGCAAAGGGAACACCACAGCACCCAGCAATACCTTTGCTGGGCACATGGCCCAAAGAAATGAGAGACAACACTACAGATGCACGCTGTCCCAGGTTCATTGCAGCACAGTTCACAACAGCAAGAAGCCAGAAACAGCCATGAACCATGAAACACCTCAAGACATGGAGGGGCCTGAACCCATTATTCTGAGTGAATCAGACAATCACAAAAGGACAAATAGCGTATGTGTCTACTACTATAAGGATAAACACCGAGAAGAGGGCACGTTTCTTCTCTCAGATCGTATAATCTTCTAATCTAGTCTCCTAAGCAATGAAGTCGAGTGCCTCCCTAGTGCCCAAGTATCACCTCCTTTATATGAACATCTGAAAGTCCATTTGGACAGAGGTGACCTCACGCCAGCTGGGGTCAGTTTTTCAAGAGAGGGAAACGTTCATTTAGTTGCACCCATAAAACTTATGCTAACATCACCCCAAATCAACTGTCACTCCTACCAGAGAATTAAAGGAACCTTAATGGAAATGATAGTCAAGACTCAGGGAAGAGAGCATGTATCCCTCGGAGAAGGTGATTACACTTCTTTTGCTGGGTCAACCGGGTGGAGCAACCATCGCATCAAGGGAAAAATGCTCAACTATACTTCTACAAAACCCAAGCGGACCTGGATGTATGTATGGATTGTGATAAGAGTTGTCCGAGCCCCCAATAAAATGATTTAAAAAGCCCACGAAAATCAAGTGGACAAGATGCTCAGTACTAATTACCAAATTGGATACTTTTGACGTAGTTTCTCTCCAGCCCCTGGCGACCCAGGCTGTGTGCTACGGACTACTGAGAATTTAGACTCTGTCCGTTCAAGGTGCACAGCATCCTTCATAGGCCAGACCAGAAGGAACCGATGCAGAAACCTCACTAATCGAACTGGGCTTTATTTCAAACTCACTTGTAGTGGAGTTAAGGGACTGACTTCAAGCTGAATCCCCTCGTGTGGGAAAAAGCAGATGACGGCTATCCCAAGGCTATGGCGTTGGTGGTCATTGGAGTTCGGGTCAGATCTTTTGCTCTGAGGTCCCTCAATGAATGGTGGCCTGGGACAACCATGTGTTTTAATGCCCTCCTGGCTTTCCTATGACATATATTAGTCTGGTAGGCATGGTTCTGCCTTTGTGAATGAGTGTTATTGAACATTTTACCCTATCCCCAAGCCCCATGATTCACATAAATCGTGTTCAGTCACTTAAGAGTTTAATCTGCACAAGTCAACAATTCATGTATTGTGATCTGCAGCCAATTTATACGTGTATAATTTCCTTTCCTCAACAGTGTTTCAAATTCTATACCACTGACTAAAATAGTAACACTATCAATAACTTAAGCCCCAGGGCGATGATTTACATATGTTCTCTATCATAAAATGATAACCATGTCTCTAAAGTGAACCAAAGCATTATAAGCAATATGAATAGACTTGGGGGTAGAACTTAATTCTAGCCCCCATCTACAACCAATTAGTTCTTGTGGCATGATCCTACTCAATACATGCCCTCATGAAAAGATCACTGAAGATACGGGTACTATAGCAAAGTGTGGTGAAAAAAAAAAACAGATGGTGCCCGGCTGTCAGAAAGAATAGTCTATGTGGTCTTAAAGGCTTGTCTTAAAACCAGCAGTCATCTAAGTGTGGCATCAACTAAGTCTACATGGAAGGAGCCCTCCAGCCGGTGTGATCCAAGGATTGTATATGGGAAAATCCAAATCCAAAGGATGGGATGCTATCAGAGCTTAAATTGTGAATGCCCAGTTTTCAGAAGACTATGGATGACAGTGGAAACACAAAACCCATTTGCAGGGTCCCCACATGGATTAAGTCTTTGGTAAATCTCCTCTTAACACAGTCCAGGGTTGTGAATACTCTTGCTCTTAAAGAACATTGTAGAGTCAATTGTGGCAGATGTAATTCGGTAAAAACGTGATACCTTATCATTTGTTCTCCCTTCTTCTGACCCCACTTTAAAGTTATTTCAGTTTTCAATATTTTCTGCTTTCTTTTTGATTCAGGTTTTTCTCTGCTTTGTCAAGTCATTATTGTTGCTTTTCTTCCTGCTTGTGCTTTGTACGATTTGCTGTACATGAAACCCAGGATAGGTAACGCTTAGGCAAATCCAAGGTAGGACAGCGACTGGACTAGTAATTACATAGCAGAGTGGCAGGGTAGATTTTGGGGGAAATTGGGAGCTAGTAACAATGCGGATAAGAAGATAATGTTCTAAAATTGGTTGCGGTTGGACAACTCTTAATATGTTTGAACGATTAAATTGTATGGTACATAAAATACATGATGGTCAGCAGAGTCTGCTCAAGTTTACATGCCTAGGAAGTGTGAGTTGGGCCAGGCTCAGAGGACTCTTCCAAACCCCACCCACTGCTATTGAGTGGATTCAGACTAGTAGAGGACACTTAGTACAACTTCAAGTCTAGTTCCCCTCTATGTTCCACACTACGGGTACGGCAGCTGCTCAAAAGACTGGCTATGTAAAGGAAGGAATAGATGTACTTACATTGTTGTTGGTCACAGCAAAGTACTGCAAATTACTCAGATACTGGATTTCTTCTGGAATGAAAGTCAGGTGATTATAGCTTAGATCCAAATAGGAGAGTTTGGTGCATAGGAACAGCTGCAGGGGCAGATTCTCAATATTATTGTGGTCCAGAAAGAGTTGCTCTAAGTTAGCCAATGCCCCAATCTGGGCAGGAATATAAGCAATGTTATTGTGCCACAACTTTAAGCAGGACAGATTCTGGAGATGCTGGAAGCTAATGATCTCCTCCACCGTTTTCAGGTTATTTTCTTTGAGGTCTAACTCATGCAAGTTGTTCAGACTGAAGATGGAGTGCGGAATGCGTTCCAGGTCGCAGCTGATCAGCTCCAGGCTTTTCAGATTGACCATCTTTTTCAAGTTGTTCAACACCACCAGCTTGCTTCCCTCATTATCCAGGGACAGCTTCTGCAGGGAAGGCAGGAGGTCTGTCACGACTTGTGGGATCCGGGAGAGGCTGCTCTTCAAATAGAGAGTCCTCAGGTTCTTTAAGTCCTGAAAGCCCTCCAGCTGCATGGTGCTCACGTGCTCGGGCAGGACGCAGCCGGACAGATAGAGTTCCTTGAGATTCTTCAGGTGAAACACCCAACGTGGGATCTTCCCCATCTCGGTAAATTTCAAACGTAGGATTTTTAAATTCTCCTCCAGAAAGGCCAGCGCAGCGTGCTCTACCAGCAGGGAGGAATGGTACACGTGCAGCTCCTTGAGGTTGACCAGCTGAGAGACGGCGGAGGGCAGCTTGACCTCTGGGATGAGCTCCAGGCTTAGCACTTCAATTTCGGTGAGCTCGAAGACGTTGTCTGGCAGACCACTGAGCATGAAGAGACGCAGTTCGACCTTGTCCTGGGAAGTTTTCACCAGCTTACTTTTAAGTTTCTCCACTGTCCACTCGTTGTTGAGGTTGATCTGTTTCAGTTTGTTCTCACTGACCTCCGACAGGAAGATGGAGAAGCGCTTAGAATAGAGGGGGTCGTACTGATCAGCCAAATGCAGGATGAAGGCGAAGTCATTCTTGACGTCCGGGATATCACTGTAATTGCTTTTCTCTCGTAATGCCTCAAAGGAGTATTGCTTCAGGGAGCTCCTCAGCATCCACCAGAGGCTGTAGGAGGAGGTGAGCCCGTACAGTATCACCAGAATGACATAAAAGGAAGCTAGGACTTTAAATATTTCTGCCAATGAGTAGACGCACTGGTAGCGTTTATAGCCGGTGAAAGCCTGTACATCAATGGAACAGTCGATTTCAAGAGTAATGTAGGATAAAAAGTAGGGAACATACGTTATGATGAGGGCAAACAGAATGACCTTGACTATGATCTGCTTCAGATACACTCTGTAAATGATGTCCTTCTGCTCCACGTGCATGCGGAACCTTTTCACTTTCTCAAAGATGGCTTTGGCCTGCTCCCCCTCCTTCTTGTCCAGCACGCTGGAGGTCGGGCTCTCTATGCCCGCTGAGTCCAAGCCTGCCTGCGAGTAGGGCAGGGACTGCTTGTTGGAATCGATGTCAGACGAACACCCTGAGGAGGAGAGCAACACCTTGGACTTGGAGAGGATCAGGGGCCTCACGGACTGCTCGGCCACGGTTTCCGAGAGGGCCCGGGTGGTCCACGGAGAATCAAAGCACTTGTGAAGAATGGCCACAAAATGCTCAAGCCTCGAACTGGTATTGGGGTAGTGGAGCCAAAAGTTGCTGCAGGCCGCGAAGATGAGCGTGTGCAGGAGCACCAGGTAAGGGAAGAACTTGGCGAACCAGTGGAGCTCCTTCTCGTAGCAGACGGCATCGATGTAGGAGTACTGCTGCCGGTGGAGGTCATTCTGGATTCTCAGCGGGAGGGGAAGCGGGGCCCTCCGGTCCGAGGACATGTTCATGCTGGCTTTCAGGAGGTCCCAAGGCACGGTGCAGTGATTGTCGAATTCCACTTTACACGGAAGACAGCACAAAACCCTGCTCTGTGTGAGCTGCAGTGCTCCGGCCAGCACGGCCACCAGCAGCATGATCAGGGTGATGTAATACCAGAAGACGTCCCACCACGGCTTTAGGATGTGATAAGACGACTGGGCGTCTGCTAAACATTTCAGCTCCGTTAGTGTAATCATGACTTTCACTTGCAGTGGTACAGAAACTGGGAGAGGAAAACAATAAAGAAAAACCACTGAAGCAAATGACCAAAACATGAACTTAACGCTAATGCTTCTGCATGCACCCCCTACCCAATCTAGTCAGCTCAGGGGGCAAAGGTAGGCTGTCAGGATCTCACACAGGGGCAGAAGGAAGGAGGCACAGCAGTTTTACGGGTACATGGGTCTTCTGGCTTCAGCTAGATTTCAGCACTGTAGTCTTCAGATGGAAGACCACTGGGTGAGGGCCAAGCTGGATTTGTCGTGGTTACACATGGGGCTGGGATCCACAAGGTCTGCAGTTTGAAACCACCAAGTGCTCCCTTGGGAGGACGACCAGGCTTTCCATTCCCAGAGAGTCTCAGAAACCCAGAGGGCAGTCTAGCCTGTCTTACAGGGCCGCCGAGAGTCAGAAGTGACTCAATGGCAGTGAGTTTATGGGATAGTAATTGCGGCACTAATCTAGTTACTTCCGGATCTTAACTCCTTGCTGGGTTATTAGTATGAGCCAGGAGCCAAGACTTCTTTAAGGCATTGGGAAATCTGGTTTTCTAACAGTCGCAGCTAAAATCTTCAAAAGGGCTGACTTAGCGCTGCTGCATCTTTCACCCTCGTTATGAAGCATCCATTTTCGCCAGAGCTGTGTTGTCATCACTACAAGGAGAGACCCCTTTGAGGAAACTTCACTCTACAAAATGATCCCTTAAGCTTAGACCGACTTTACTGATTCTGTGCTCAACAAATGTCCTTTAATACACCCCGACCCCTGCCTTTTCCCTCCAAGGTCTTGCTCTGTGATTTAAGTAGATGTCCCATTTGGAATTTGTAGAAGGTGGGAAACAACAGTAATGGCTTAAAAAGGGACCGAGGAGAGAAACCCAATTTGAATACTCTACAATGAGGACTCATCTCATGTTTATACTACTGCTTCAAAGTATTAATATGATAAATGATTAAGGACATACTCTATTAAAGATGTCTTGCTTTCAGAAAAACACTGTCAGGTGGATTTCTGCTGTCAGATGGAGTATGCACTTCCATACTGCAAACTATTTAGATCATTAAGAATTATTCACAGCTTACATAAATCAATCTTTCTTTTTAAATGCCAGACCACCTGTAAAATGGCAGAGTAAGACAGATAAATGGAAATATTTGGATCTTGTAAAGCATCTGACAAGGAAAATAAAAACTAAAAACAGTAGCATGGTCACCCTTTGCCGTCGGGCCAGCTCCGATGTGATGCCCAAGGTTTTCTCTTGAACTTTTCTTAACTCGCGTATGTTTGCTCATTCCTGGGCTTGAGTTTAACTCAAGATTGTATGAGTAGCTTTATCCCCCCTTTCTCACATCAGGTATCCTTTTAGGGATTGGCATTCTGCACCAATGTCAGAATCCTATTACAGTGACCCCAGTGTCTTTCAATGTCTTCTACTTTTGCTAGTCAGTCTCAACAGATCGCTGACCATCTGATCCTGGACCACACATCTTCGTGCTTTCCCTTCACGGAATCCACCCGAGAGGTAGTCAATTGATATGGCCTTTCTAGCCGTCACTCGAAGCCTGTGGCTGTCACTCTATTTTGGAGGGCTCCTTTTGTTCTTTTTTAAAATCATTTTACTGGGGCCTCATACAACTCTTATCACAACCCATCCATCCATCCATTGTGCCAAGCACATCTGTACATTCATTGCCTTCATCATTCTCAAAACATTTGCTAAGTGGAGAGCTTCTTGCTACACTAATAGGCAGGAGTAAGACCTACCCTTTCCTTTGGGGAAATATTTAAACTCTACTTCAGTAGAGGGTGTGAACCAAGCCACACCCTTTGCTTTCTTGGTGGCATCTTTAAAATATTAATAGAGGGTGTAATTTAAAACCAGCCTCCCTTTTCCTTAGGGATATGGCTGGCCAAAAGGCCACCACCCCTCCATCAAAGCCATTGGTTGTCATCTGGGACAGAGAGCAAGCCAAGGACCACTGGAAGAGCAGGTCCCAGATCTCTGCCTGATGTAGCAGAGGCCTCGGAGACAAGACGCACTAGAGGTTTCGGCACAGAGCAGCAGTGAGACTACGGGGTCCTTTTTCCTCATCTGGCCCCAGACTGGAAATGTGGGACAGTGGCAGGCGGGCTGGTTCCCTGGCCCATGGAGGCAAAGACCAAGGGACCACATATGTACTGTTTCCCCGAAAATAAGACAGTGTCTTATATTAATTTTTGCCCCCAAAGTTGCACTGGGTCTTATTTTCAGGGGATGTCTTATTTTTCCATGAAGAATAACACGGTACACATTTATTGTTCATGGTTTTATTAAAAGAGACCTCACACTTCCTGTCTGCTCTGGCTGTGCTGTGGCCAACAGTGAGCTGTGTAGCGGTGCCCGCCGCTTCGGTCCAGAGTCCAGAGTTACGGTACCTTGGGGGGGGGGCGCACCTTATGTTTCATTGAGAGGCAAAACTGTAAGTAGGTCTTATTTTCGGGGGATGTCTTACTTTCGGGGAAACAGGGTAGCTGAGAGGCTGAGAACTGCAGAGAGACTTGGCTACTGGCTGAGGAGACAAGTGACTGTATTCTTACTATTTGCTGATCCTGGACTCTTAGCCCCCCTAAGAGACCACCCCCTTCATAATGAGTATTGCCTTTGAGTTCTGTGTGGCTATTGCAATGAATTATTGAAACCAGCATCAACGTAAAGTGCCATGGGAGGAATGGGTGGGGTCAGAATAGGTAATGAAAGATGGACCGAGGAGGCTTGTCTGATCTTGGCCTTTTGGGGACAGGGAAGCTAGAGGAGGTGAGATATGTCGTTCTCAGGGCACTTACTGCACATCCCACAATCCCTCATTTTAACTGATGGGCTGAGGAACCACTTTCGGCTTGCCTAAATCCATATCTTATTAAGTTTTCAAGGCCCTCCTTTGAATTTTTGTTTAATTATCGAATTCTTTAGAGTTTTCCTCTAGTTTAACAGTTATGGTTAAATTAACTCCAGCTCTTGGTGAGACACAGGATTTTCGATGGCTGATTTGGGATAAGATCTCCAGCCTCTCTTCCAGGTTGCCTTGAACTTCAGTTTGTTAAATGCCTGTACCACGCAGGGACTTCTTAATCTAGATTAGACGGTCTCCATCTAATTCTCAACTCTTTATATTCTGCTTCACTCTACTGCAGTTAATCAGAATAAAGTGCTAAGGCAAGGCAAACAACCCCAACAGGACTATATGAGACAAACGAAAAATCCTGCACTTGGGCTTCAAACTACTCTAAGATACAATGGAAGGGATTATGAAAAACATTGCTGGATGAGAGAGAACAAGGGAAAAATACCTGGGGACTTCAGTTAGCACGTATCCTTTGGGCTAATTGCTTGACAGTTAGTATGCTAAAATACTGATTGTAAATAACCCTTGGTCATGTTAATAGGTGGACCCAGATATAGGGGCCACAGTCCTTCTGTGCCTGACAAATGAGATCACCTCAGCTCAGTTATAGATTAAAGGTTAAATGGGTAACAAATGATCAGGAGATAATTCTTGACAGACTGTTTCCTACAGAAGAATATAGGTAAGTGATGACGCTAGGCTAAGGCAAAAGATGACTCGGTGATGGGAGAATTTCTCTCTACATCTGCCCCCTCCCTCCTAGATGAAAGAGTGATCCAGAGGCGGGGCTAAGAGAGAAGACACTTCAGACCAGGGGTTCTCAAACTATGGCCCATGGGTCACATGCGGCCTGCAGAGGACATTTATCTGGCCCGCCGGGTGTTTTTGCCCCATTTGTTTTTTTTACTTCAAAATAAGATATGTTCAGTGTGCACAGGAATTTGTTCTTGGGTTTTTTTTAAAACAATAGTCCAGCCCACCAACGGGTCTGAGGGACAGTGAACTGGCCCGCTGTTTAAAAAGTTTGAGGACCTCTGCTTCAGACAGTCCCAGCTTAATTCGATCTGAGGTGAAGCATCTACAGACGGGCTGTTCTGGGAATAGCTCAGCTCCCCATGTCTGTCTGACTCTTAAGTGTGTAAGATGACAATACTTCAAAAATGTTGCAAAGGAATCTTTTTTTTTTTTTTTTTTGCAGCGGAGAAGAAGAGTGGAATCTCTAAGGATTCTTCCAGTTTAAGTTTATGGTTTCCTTCGTTCTTTCAAAGGCCTG